GGTCAGCTAGACAGAGGACTGCTCCTACAGCATCTCTTTATTTAAGGCTGCTCAGAGGAAGAAAGAGGCATAAATGAGTCTGTAACAGCTGTCACAGCAGCTAAATCCTGAGAATGCTTCCCATTCCCATTCGCCGAGCAACCCCCCGAGATCAAGACCAAGCCACAAGCAACAGCATCTCTTGAGTGCTGAACATCAGCTTCAGCAAGGTTCTCAGTGGGGGAGGAAGGAGTGAAAAAACAGCACCAGAGTCACACATAGCCCCCAAAAACCTAAAACTGATATGACGTACAGAAGCTATTCCGACAGTTTCTTAAAAGCCTGAATGATATAAGCTAATCTGCAACAGAGGTGGGAATTTTTTTAATCAGGCAAAGATGTGTGCATAGCTAAATGGGAGGATGACATGAATGTTGCTTTAGAAAAAATTTTGATTGAAATACTAACATCACTGTCCACATTTAGGAGCTTATACTGTAAAATGAGCAGATTTTTTTGTATAATATTGCTTTGTGTGTTGGAGACGAGAAAGCCTGCTAACTATCCTCATTCTTTCAACATCACTATTTTTTGTAAGATGGGTAGCCATGCCATCATTAGTATCACAACAGGATTCATGTTTGTTTATTCTGCAAGGAATGTAAATCGGACTTCATACCTAACACCTTAAAGCTATGCTGAAACACAAGGAATTCTATTATCTTTATACCACGTATTTTTGGATTTTTTTTCTCCCTGCTCCAGCAGAAGACTGACAGTTTATAGCGCAGTGGTGCAACTGCCTCATTTGCACACTTACAGTTCTTGATAAGGGGTTGAAATGCTTGATTCCCCAGAGGTCCTCTGTTCTTTCCTCAACATAAAATGTCTTCCTATATTTCGATACAGCTATGAGAAATTTTTCTAAATAACAGATATCTAGCCATTAGACAATGCCTTTCATGCAGAAGAATGCCACAGAGGGCTCACACAATTCATTTCAGCACACGCCAGGCAGCAGAGAGCAGAGCCTGGAACCAGAAGCGGAGCAGCCTCATCCCACGTGGCCCCTCCTGCTCGTGGCCCTGGGACTTGACTCATCCCTATGCACCATTCCTTGCATCAAATGGATCCTAAATCACAGTAGAAAAAAATCAAAACAGAATAGTTGAAACCCCTCAAAGTTCTGCTAAGCTATAGTGGAAAGACATCCAAATGCGTTCAAATATACTGTTAAAAATCTGAATTGCTTTTGCTCAGGAAATGAGGTAACACCTTTGACCACCACACTGACTTTTTTTGTACATCAATAGCACTGTCTAAAACCTGGCTTTTAACAACAGCCATATAACCCATCCCTGTTTATAGCGTTACTGTGAATTGTGCCATGGCACATTTGTTATAAAGTTCTTCAATAATGACAATAAACCCAAGACAATTACTCCTCCATGCACTAGGGTTGGGGTATTTTCTAAAGAACAGCTTTGATTGAAAGGTAAAGATTAGCTTTAAATTCCTCCACTCCTTCTTTTATTTGAATATGAAAAGAAGATGTAATACAGATGCTTACCTTGATATGACATTAAAAGACGGTTTGGGTCAATATAATTCCTGTAGAACAGCAGAATTTTTTTAAAAATCCTTAAATATTTGTACTCACTGATTTTACCCTTCAGATGCATTTTAGCATTCTAGGGTAATCGGCTAAGTCCAAATCACAGATGCAGAAGTAACTACTAGACCATCTCTCCCTTAATGTGCATACTATGCATACAACATCACAGCTTAATCTCCCCCAAAACAAGGGAAAATGTACTTCTGCAACAACGTTCTAGAACGTAACCGTGTGAGTCAAAATGACCTCCCAGAAGAGCTTCCTTGTACTTGACAGCAGGTTTATGGACATGTTGTAAATGTCAGACTACATCATTTTTAATCATAAAAAAAGACACTATAATACTGTTTCCTTGTAACCAGGACAGAAAATCATTTGGTAGGAGTAAGAACATTTATTGGTTTTGACATAAAAATTTCTTGCTGTGAGGTGGAAACGCTGTACTCCAAATACCGGAAGAAACGTGAAATCTCAAGGGTTATGTTCAGTAACTCTTGGTTCAAAAGAAGACGCAGCAGGTGCATTATTTAAGAGCTTGTCAGAGATGATCTTCCACAGCACACTACTCCAGGATTCATCTCCTGCTATGCCTGGGAAGGGAACTCTAATGTAAACATGTGGCAGAACTGGCTGGCTGCACATCAAGTCCATACTGCCCAACCCTCTCCAGTACCACTGTGGTGACTACAAAATGTCAGCATCAGAAAAGGTCTTCAGTACTGAATGCAACTCCTCCTCCCACATACCCCACGAAAGAGCAGTTCTTTGGATGAGTTGTTCAGAGTGCACTTGCTCTGCAAAACTCAAAGCGATAATTTTCTCAGTAGCCACACGATGTTTTAAAGCGTGTTTCACATTGCTGTATTCCGTGCTAATTCAGTGTCACAAAGATGTAGTATATTCAGTGCAAATGAGAAACAGTTGCAGCCCAAGTTACTGCTTTGAATTTCCTGACTCCTGCACATACAAAACCTTGAGCATATTTTATTTAACAATTTTTTTTTTGGCTTTTTATTCTGTCAGCCCATAAATCCTTGAGTAGAAGCTAGTAACATCAGGATTTCAGCAGGGATGATCACAAATAAACATGGTAGAAGAAATATAGAAGAGGCTCAAACGATCAAACTGTTCAAACCAAACCAAACCAAAAAAACCTAATCCAAATTGGTTGATTGGGTCCTCTATGCCTTAGACCAGTGAGACAGATTTTCAGCTGTGTAAGCCATGGGAGTGGTGTTGCCTTCAGCACAGACGAGCTCATTCGCACAAAGGATCTGACCTGTGTTTCTGCAGAAGACACTCCAGGCATAGGCAGACCTGCATACATACCTTCCTGTTTCTCTCACACACCCATAAACATTTCAGGAAGAAGGAATTTCATTTGTGTTGTGGGTGCCAAAGTAAGAAAAAAAACAACAGAAAATCCAATTTTAACTACTCCAGTACAAAATTAAAAATCCCTCATACAGGAAAATCACAGCCAGTTATACTTTTTTTCTTTTTTTACGTGAGTAGCTTCAAAAGCAACAGAAAAGAAAAATAACTTTCAGCTAAGAACAAGTAGGAGAAATAAAATTTCAAATTGCGTATTTTTAGAAAATATTATTTTGATGGAAATTGCTCCCCTTAAACATGTCTCTACTGGTCAGTCGAAATGGCTTTCCTAATGTATTATTGCACTACATGACATTTGAAAGGGGAAGAATACAGAGAAAGCAATGGTTGTACCTTGGAGTATGCTGGCCACGTGTCTGCGGCACAAAAAGCATCTGTAACAAAACATTTTGCACAAACTTGCGCTCTGCAGTGGCAAGAGAAACTAAAGCGTGAAAAAGGAAGCTGATCCTATGTATGCTCAACTGAAGAACAGAAAGTAGCTCTGTACCATCTCCCACTTGCACTGAACCCTGAAGGGGAAAAAAATTAGCATGATTACACATTTAACTGCAGTAATCCTGGATTAAAGCATTTAATTCCTAGACTGTTTACGAGCCATCAATACAAACATTAATAAGCAGATATATGGCAGGCTGCTTTAAAAGTATATTACTTGTCTGTCAAAACTAGCTCTGGTACAAATTCAGTAGTATGCAGTGTTTCATTCTTTTTAAAGGCAGGCTTTATCTTAGGTGTTTTAAGTAATCTCTTATGCCTGAACTACAGTATAAAAATATAACATCCTCTACAAACATTAAGTAGGCGGTTTCTCTTTTGTTAGTAAATGGAGTACACCCTAGCCTTTTCAATTTTTGAATGGCTTTGAAAATAAAAGGTGTCTCCAACATAATAATTGTAACAGTTAAATTATATCTCTTCAGACAAGAGTAACAATTAACAGAAAGCATCTATACCATGTTTACCTTTATAAAGCATTATTGTACTAAGTAGCACAGAGCCTCAATAAGACTGAAAACACACATTATTCTGGGGGACATCTGGAAAACTCCTCACCATTAACTCTAAGAAAACTGATAGCTCTGAGGGAAACTTGCATCTACCCTCTCCTCCATCAACAAGTTATTACCCAGTCACTCACAGTACAGGTAAATGACCTCATCAGCTTGAGCCTTGTTTTGGCATTTCAAAAACCCCCCAAAATTTCTCAGCCCATATTCACATACCAGCATTTGCCACGAGCTGGCTCATCGCAGGAGGACAGGCTTACACACCTGCGAATTTCCAACACACACTATGTCACTTTTCATAAATGGGTTACAGGAGAAATATTAATTCCAGTTTCCCCTTGGATTTTTTCCTTTTCCATTCCTCCTGTTATGAATAGCACAACTCCTTCCACCCCGCACTCCCAACCCCCAACAGCATATACATTAATTTCCCCTACTTCACTTTAACCTGTTGTCTTAACTCAGTGGAAGCCGGGTTAAATTCTTGATCTAAAACCAACTGCAGTCAAGATCAGCCTTTCTATGGGCATTAATAGGTTTTAGCTCTGGATGGGGAAACCCAGGCGTGACGCTCCAGTCCAACACCAGTCCCCACGTCCTGCTGAGCTCTGCACACTTCATCAGGCGCAGCAGAAGGAATTGTCCCCAATTCAGTCTCTCCACAGTATGGGATAGCATAAAGCTTTATATCAGATGGGAAACTACACAACGGGAGGTGGCAAACTCTCAGGTGACACGGCCAAAGTCTTGTGGCCGATGCCTCCAAGAGTGCAGAATCACTGCAGTCAGGTAGCTTGGGAAACTATAAATTCATAGATACTGCTAGCTCAGAGAAATTTGGTGAAACTCCACATTGCCTCTCAAGCGGCAAAACCACAAAGCATCTACAGGGGCATGCTCTGCAGCTGAATGCCTGTTGCCCTTACAGACAGCATTCTGCACACATAAGTCAGATTATCACACACAAAAAGAATAAGGGAAGGGGAAAAAAATTAGAAAAATGCATCCTAGAAGTTACTTATGTTTAATGCTTAAAAGTCCGAATGCACAAACAATAATCTACCATTATAGAAGTACTGGTGGTCAATACAATGCATTAGAACTATGTACAATGACACAGTTTAGTATCAAAATCTTTCTACAATGTAGAGTATTACGAAACTGTTAATGACATCAAACACTAAGCACTTAAGACACCATTTTTTGCTACCACATTTGGAACTTCAATGAACAGTCCATTTTAACTTGCAGCATCAATCCATTTCTAGTATGAAATTAAGTAATCTTCTACTTATACAATAAGATTTATCTACACGGGTCTTTTGATTTTGATCCATAGCAGCAAAGGCACTGTACATCAGCAGATCCACAGACTTAAAGATTTTTTTTAAAGCATTCAAAAAAAAAGTCACAGATCATAGTTTAACAGCAACAACAACAACATAAAAAGATAACACGTTGTCTCTGGCACAATGGCTCAGTCTGCGTCCGTTTTAGGGACATCCAGTCAAGACTTGGATTGAACTGCTGGCGAACAAAGCAAGTCCTTATCCCAATGAGAATCCATTCCTTCTTGTATGTCGGAATGAGTACTCTTGTAAATCCTACCTCGGAGGTCATTGCTTTTGTAGTTTGTATATTGGTAGGCATCCATTCTTATTTCAGTGCAGTTTCCAAAGAACATATCAAATATTTTTCATAATCTCTTGTAATTGAAAAATTGCCCAAAGACACATATCCCCATTTTCAAGGAAACATTGCAAAAGTTTCCAGAAGTAACAAAGGTAATTCTTTGAGGCAACTTATTGTATTCTCTACAATATAACAAAGAGAGGTGTTTTAAAAAACCTAGCTTGACACCAAAATGCTTTATGCTTATCAACAGAAAAGCATTGAGAACAAATCTGTACACAAGATGCTATATTAACATTGCAAATATATAAATTAGCACATTCTTACTTAAAGTGAATTTAATTTAGATGTGAACTGAATTTGCCATTCATCACAGGCATGTAGATTACTGGCTACAGTATTTCCTAAGATTCCAAGACTGTCTAAAATAGTTAAGATACAGCATCTTCCCACGAAATAATTATACTGTAATAACACTTAGAGGTCTCATCCAAGAACAGGACTAAAAAATATAACAAAGTTGTTTTTCTGGTTTTTTTTTTTTTTAATAGAAACTACGAGTCTGCTTAGTGTAACTTTCACTATCTCCTGAACATCCTTCTCCAAGATCCCCAATTTATTCACCTGCAAAAACACAAAGTATACAATGCACCTTCAAACTAAAGCCGGGCCAGACAGCTTTATTTAGTCGGTTCATTGTTAGAAAGCCTTCTTTAAACAAAATAAATACATTACAGCTATAATACATAATTAAAGAGTCAAGTTCACTGTTAAGTATGCTCATTCCATCTTCTTCCAAGTAGATAATCTGACAATTTGGTATCACAAGTTCTTAATGAGCATTCACAAATCAATAGCAAGTTAAGAAGGTAAAAATAAATTTCACAACTGTGATGAGCGTGTAAGTTCTCAGTTTAGAAAGAAAAAAAAAAGGAATATACAGCAAAGTGCTAGGAGAAGGAGTTCTGTCTGCATTCAGATTTGTCTCTAATAAATAACTTCATAGACTGTAGCTTTCTTGTCCCCAGAGCCAGTGACAATGTATTTGTCATCCACAGAGATATCACAGCTAAGCACAGATGAGGATTCTTTGGACTACAAGAAAGAAGAAAAAAAAAGAAAAAAGGAAATTATGTCTTTCCAATCCTTCAATCCAGAAAGGCTTGAAGATTAATTGGAAGAGTTTATAGAGAGGGAATACACTGAAAGCTTATTTAAATATCAGCACTGCAGTGGTAGCTTTTGTTACAAAACTGTTTCTCCAAACTTGTTCCACTTACAGCTCTGTGGCAACAAAAACAGCAGCAGAAAGGGAAGTGAATGTTATGGACCTAGAGATAATCAATCAAACAAAAAGAAGCAGTCCTTTCTATACATTTTACAAGCACTGAACATTTCTTAATATTTTATACATTAGCTTTTGCATAAAAATGAATGAAAACCCATCTTCTTCTTCCCTCCCTTTTCTGTTGTAAATTAGAAATCCTTGTGGAGAAGCACTACAGAGCCTTACCCACCCACAGGTATAAAACAAAGAGACTCCTCAAAAGTAACTGTATCTCCTCTCTCCACTTCCTCAGCGCAGAAGACAAAAGCCTTGCAGAAAAGAATTTACATTATCAGGGAGGATGCAAATACGAAAAGATACTGTGGTGGAACAGGATGCGCAACAGTGCACAGCAAGTGAATGGGAGACAGGACACAGCGGGATGCAGTAGCTCTACCTCTCCCAGTTTTTCTGTCTATTCCAAAGTGATGAGTACATGCTGCCACATTTTACGTGCTGTTTTAGTGCATGTTTTCTTTACGTAATACTCGTCCACATTCTTTTCTGCCTGTCACTGCAAGAACTAAATACTTCCCAACCATGCTAAACTTTTGCCAAGAAACCTCTGCACTGCACAGAAGTTTCTCGCTCTACCCCTCATTAAGAAAGCTCCGTGGGGGTTTTAACATCACTTTTAAGGGAGATGTATTCTTGTTAGGATCATTTGGACTTTCTGTGGGAGGTGGTTCCAAAGCGGAATAGTCTCCATTAAGAAAATACAGACCTCAGCTTTCTCATGTCGAGGCAAACTGTGCTGTCCCCAGAGATGAAGACATGGTAGGTATCAGTACAGGTGAGACCTGACCATTTAAACCAGAACACAGTTAACTTAATTCAAAAGATTCCCAGCCTAGAGGTACCTCTAGCTGAAAGCAGAGAAGGACATGCCAAAAATCCCACTTTTCTTTAATGGCACTGAAATGCCATTAAAATTGGGCACAGAGGGACTAAAGACTATAGAAAGGTTACAGCTTCCAGCTACATTCCACGGGGATCCTCCATAAGGATACAGTCTTCGTCTCAGTGGTCTGCCTGTCCAACCTACCGACTTTATGCATCTTATCCAAGAAACACACGTGTTGAATGTGACTTTCACTGTTTAGCTACATTTTGGACCTCCAGTGAACGCTCACCTCAAAATTACAGCAATACATACAAAAAGGTCAGAAAGGAGGGTATTGAAAACTATTTCATATTACAGGATTGCTTTGTTGTAACAGCTAAATTACTCAAATGTTAGAAAGGACAAAAACGGATCTCTCGTTAATTACAGACAGTCTTAAAGGAACATAGCAATTAGCCAAGAATTTCCATTTAAAAACTCCTTAAGCTAATGACAGACCCCGAGATGTGCAGCTCTACTGCACTGTAATGTATGTGGAAAATAGCTTTTAGGAGATTATTACCTGGAATATACTGGCTCCATACGGTGTTCTCCAGGCATTAAGAAGATTATCTTTTCCAGTGCTTACAAACCATTTGCCTGCAACAGATTGTTTAAATGTTATTGTTGCAATTTTTTTCAAGGAACGCACCCCAAGAAACAGAATTATCATAAAAACAGTGCATTCACACAGTAATGGAAAACATATCCAAACAACAGTCACATTTTCATCCGTTTGTGCTATGATGTTCGATCACAACATACGTGGTTAATACAAAAAAGCAGTCAATACAAAAAGCAGTCATATAGGATTTTTTTAAGAATCTTAATAAATTTAACATCTAATTTTTAACAATATCCCTACTTTCATTTAAAGGTCATCTTGTACGAATTTCTCAGCAGGGAAAACACAGAAAGATTTGCTTACCACAGTGGGCAAATTTGAGTGACAACACACAGCTCTCATGAAGATGCAGCTGATACTTGTCCGGCTTTGTAACATGCAGCACCTCGACGTTACTGTTCTCCATTCCGACTGCCAACCACTCCCCAGTTGGACAATAGCCCAGTGAGAAGATCTGGAATTAGCACCGCACGTGTTTCAGTCAGTAAAGGTATGAGCTCGAGATTTTCAAAACCAACTCTTGCTATGCTGTTAACACTATGCAGAAACACATTTTGGTCTACTACAGTTTTAAAAACATGCTAATCCAATTACTACAGCAATCAAGATAAATTTGTTCATGTAAACAAAGCCCAATTAAAACAGTAATAGTAAAGCACTGAATCAAGCTATAAAAGTTAATGTCCTAACTTATCTGACAGCATTTAAAAATATTTTCGTAAAATATTTTTTAACAAGAATCTACAGAAACAGGAACAGATTGCACAAGGGAACACTTTAATCTGGCAATTATTTCACAAAAAGGATTCTCCACTACTCTCATGGGAGCAGTACTAATCTGTCAAATACTCATAATCTAGAAAGATGTTTAGTTGCCACATCAAAAAAAAAAAAAAAAAGTGTGAGAGGAAATGAAAAATTCTTTGGCGTTCTCTTTGAGTCTGCTTTTTTTGATTTAAAAGAAATGAAAAACCAAAAGTGCTTGTTTTAGAAAACCATAACAGATTTTTCTTAACGCGCCAAAGTTTCTGAGACTGAACCTGTGATGTGAAGTCATGTTGCTGTAGCTGTCTCCCTTCTCTGAGATCCCAGGATCTGACTGTATTGTCCAAGCCTCCCGTCCATAATTTGGTGCCGTCATTAGAAATGTCAATACAGCTTGCTCCATCTGTGTGGCCCTGAAATTGCCTGGAAGTATTGAAAGAAGATATGCATGTTGTCACACTGGAAAGAGTTGGTTCTGAGCATGTGCACAAACTACCTTCTTTTCCTTTCACTCGCAGCTGTTAAAGACAACAGTTAAGTAAATCCCAACAGCAATCTGAGATTAATATAAACTCTGGGACGACCACGTGAGTTCTGTGATGAATTGATGAAGCAATCAGTCCAGACAGCAAGCGCTAATTTGATTTCAAAAAGCACACTTTCAGAGTCAGATACTCTGGGGATCTTTGCTGCTGACTGTGTTATAGCCACTATTCAGCTGAAAGTACCCCACTCTCCACTCTACTAGGAACACAGCACAACCCTCGACCATCAAAATTCACTTAGTTTAAGAAGAATCTGCAGGTCACCCACAAAGTTGGAAAAAAAGAGCAGTCTCAATGGGAACATCAGGGAGTAAAAGTTTGCTTTTACAGGCAATACTGAAATACTACATGTAACAACATACACACAGTACACTGCATAGAGAGGCTGTGTACAACTGGCTCCTAGCTTACGTTAGTGTTGAGCAGCAACCCTACTCCTAAGAAGCTAAGTCTGTAATGCAGTAATTTACACATATCTGTACCCAAGACATATTTGCCGGAGCACTGATTAAAGAGATTGGAGTATGAGTACAGTGTATTTCATGGAAACAAAGAAAACCATCTGTTCAAAGAACCTACAGCAGTGTCAACACCAGCTGATATTAGGATATTATAGTTACGGGGCTGCTCAACAGGCCTGGAATTATGAAACTCTCAAAACCTGTAAACAGTTCCATAGACTTATGTCAAGGTACTAGTATGGCTATCGCCTGGCAATGAAATACTGCAAGCAGCTATGCAGACACCACGGAGAAAATAGCATATATACGCAGAGGAGCACGTAAGGCCTTGCCTAATTAATTCTTCACAACCCGATGATCCAGTTCTGTTGACTTACCTTACTAAAGTCTGGTTATGCAGATCCCACACTGCAATGTTCCCATCACTACAGCAAGAGAAGCAGACCTTGGAGTCGGGGCTGATAGCTAGGGCATAGCAAGCTGGAGCAGAAGATGTCAGCTCTGCCTTGATGCGAGGAGTTGGAGCTGCCAGGTCCCAAATGGATAATGTGCTGGCTTCCCCGCCAACAATCAGGGTGCGGCCGTCGGGGAGCAATCTGCAGGAACGGATGTAGTTATCTCTGTTCTGTGGAGACAGAAGCCATCAAGAGATTACTCATGAGGAAAGGAAAACAGCATTAACATGAGATCAGAAATCCATAAAAGTATTGTATTCCCTCCTGGTTTTAATGAGCCATTTATACTTATGACAATGATAAAGTGTATTAATGCCAGAAAATTACATGACATTAGGGAAGTACTTAAACTTGATCTACAAAATTCAGTAGTGAGAGATATTTAATCTTAATTAGCATCAAAACACAAAGATCTGAACCCAGCCCAAAACAATTCAAGATAGCTGCATTCGACAGCTTGTGTAGAAAGTTATATTTTCATACTCTGTTTATTTCATCACATTAGCCTCTTGGCATGGGGGAGTACCATATTCCCTGCGCGCTCCCCCCACCCCGTTCCAGCGAGACTTGCTGCCACCATCTATGAGATGTCAGAAGAAAATATTTGGGCAATTTTCTTCATTTGTGTAGCAATTTGTGTAGCAATTCATTATACGTCTACAGTTCTCATTTTACTGCCTCTGTAACAAGAAGCAACATCTTACAAGAACTGGTAAGTGACATGAGAAAAGCTGCTAACAATGGTTCATCTTGTTAGCACATTCAAATAATTTGTGAATAACACTCAGGGATATTTTTAATTGTCACATTCAGACAGGGCAATGCATTCACACACATACACAGACACAAAATGCGTGACACAATCTTCAAATATTCTCAGAGAATACAGCTGCAAGACAGCAATTTTTAGCATGATAGGATATCAAGCTTTAAGATTGCAAACAAATGTCAAAGTTTATAAGCTGTATTTGCTGTGCTGTCTTTGATCTTTCCCCCTACCAATACAATTTTGGGATATTGAAGATGTTTTGATTCACTGGGGGGGGAAAAAACCACAAGTACAACAAGGAACATATTTCTAACTCAGTTCTAAAAGAAATAACAATATTACAAATGAAATATCAAGCTTTCACACCAATGACAGCACTCAAGTAGCCACTGGTTTTTGTACCTTAACGGCTTCATTTCAATCTTAACACAATCTGCTATCTTCCTCCACTGCCGTGTGCTGCTGTTCACTTACCAGGCAGTCCAGCTGAGAAACAGGGCTCTTGTTGCCAGGGTGGCTGATATCCCAGACTTTGACACACCCCTTCCCACCCGTGTATACGTGTCTCGTGGGGTTGCTGATGGTAACTGCACACACAACTTCCCCGTGGTTCAGAGTGTTGATCTGACGGGCATGGCGAGGGATTCCTGGACCGATGAGGGCATCAGGAGGGAGAAAAGCTGCTAACAATGGTTCATCTTGTTAGCACATTCAAATAATTTGTGAATAACACTCAGGGATATTTTTAATTGTCACATTCAGACAGGGCAATGCATTCACACACATACACAGACACAAAATGCGTGACACAATCTTCAAATATTCTCAGAGAATACAGCTGCAAGACAGCAATTTTTAGCATGATAGGATATCAAGCTTTAAGATTGCAAACAAATGTCAAAGTTTATAAGCTGTATTTGCTGTGCTGTCTTTGATCTTTCCCCCTACCAATACAATTTTGGGATATTGAAGATGTTTTGATTCACTGGGGGGGGAAAAAACCACAAGTACAACAAGGAACATATTTCTAACTCAGTTCTAAAAGAAATAACAATATTACAAATGAAATATCAAGCTTTCACACCAATGACAGCACTCAAGTAGCCACTGGTTTTTGTACCTTAACGGCTTCATTTCAATCTTAACACAATCTGCTATCTTCCTCCACTGCCGTGTGCTGCTGTTCACTTACCAGGCAGTCCAGCTGAGAAACAGGGCTCTTGTTGCCAGGGTGGCTGATATCCCAGACTTTGACACACCCCTTCCCACCCGTGTATACGTGTCTCGTGGGGTTGCTGATGGTAACTGCACACACAACTTCCCCGTGGTTCAGAGTGTTGATCTGACGGGCATGGCGAGGGATTCCTGGACCGATGAGGGCATCAGGAGGGAAGGGAACCGGCTGCATCTGACCATCTGCACTTACATGAAATGAGTATGCTCTGAGGGGAAAAAAAAATACAAGGGGTGGTTTAAGAAGTTTTTCTTCAAGCCTATTTCAGAAAACAGAATTAAAGCTGCATGTTCACTGCAGGATTCAGATGTGCACTCAGCTCCTTTTGCAATCTTTTTAATCACGTGAAGAAGAAATTATTTATTTATCTACAGCATAGCCCTCAAAGCATAACTTAGGCACTCTTCTTTAAACGTGGAAAGTCAAGCACCATCTACGAATCAAATGAGCTTTTACAACTTGTGCAATGATGATTTCTGGCATAAATGAGGATACACGATGCTACTCCAACTTGAGGCATGGGGAGACCACCACACGCAGTGGAGGGAAGGAAGGTCAGGTCAGGGGCCCCTGGTACACAGGAATAGTTGGCTGGCTGATGTAGAGTGTGGCGGGCAGCTGAGTGCCAGGGGACATCTGGTCGCTCCCTTATGGACTCTAATGTGCGAACTTCAGCTGGACTGCTGCCCCACTGCCTTGAACAAACCGCTGGTCCCACGACCCTCGAGCCAGACTGCCCAACTTTGTACCTAAAGGTGCAGTGAAACCTCCACCATCAAGGACTCAAGTCCTCAAGGCACATTTGCTGACATCTGACATGATAGACCACCAGAAATGCACTGGAATTTTTTTCCTTCTTTTGCGTTCTGCCCCCCCCCCCTTTTTTTGTGTGTGGACCTGACACAACAACTGCAAATCCCAATTTCTCTTGCCAGAATAAGGACTCTCACTGAGAAAGAATGTGTTGCATGACTGCCAGTTATGCCACCTGTGAATAACCTATCAACAGCTTCATCTCAAAATATTTTCCAGGGAGAACAGTTAGATTGTGAAATTGTCTTGTTCCTAGATGCTGCCTGACACATCACATTTATTACAAGAGCACAAACTTTGTAAGAGGGTTCACCTACACATACCAAGGTATGCTTAACAGAAGGCTTTAATTTCCTTAGGCCTGAAAAATCACCACAGTACTGATGAAATACCCACTGTCACAATGGTGGGATGAGAAGAGCTCACAAAAAAAATCATTTTATGAGAATACTTGGGAAGATCACTTCCTTAATTGTTGCTTCAAAGTTACTGAAGCAGGAAGTCTTCAGAATTCAACTACTGAATTTGTTATTTAAGACTCATAGTGCATTAACATTAGAACAATAATTTTCAGTGGGACAAAATGCAACCTCATTTTCACCTTTCTAACCCATTTCCAGTGCTTTACACACTGCTCTCCTCCTGCACTCTGTTTCTTGTTCTGGCAGGTCTGAGTGACAGACCACATAATCATTCTCCATTTTTTGACACTAAATACATTCAGGAAAGGGTAGGACAGAATTCTGTGGTTGTTAGCAGCAGCAAACTGCCTATATGAATAGAATTAGCGTTCCATTATTACCGCAGAAATCTGAAATATCCTCCTTGTTATCTCCCTAATTCCCGCTTGCTGCAGTAAGGTATTGAAGAAAGCAGCTGATGGTCACCCGAAATCTCCCAACAAAAAAAAAGGAACTTCAATATCATCTTTTCTGATTTCTGTATGCAGTCACTCTCTGCAGAGCCATGTTCAGCGCTGAGTGTACAATACTTATCAGCCGAAGCGATTTTTAGCATGCCTATGAGTTACAGAGGGAACTTACTTAACAACTACAGAAACAAAGTTTAGATTTGGAGAGATCTGTGACTACATTATTCTCAGTCTATTCATTACTCCATACCAGCACATGTGACTAAACTGTTGCTTTGTTGTTTGGTTTTGTGGTGGTTGAGCACATTTCTTTTTTCCACTGTGAGAATTAACACCACATGTTGCTTATTTGAAGTACTCTAAATATCTTACGAATATCTGACACTATAAACACCTGGCGAGCACTTTTTTTCTTCTTTTCAGATTAGCTACGTTTTCTACCTATATATTGTGCAGTCCCCAGCATTTTGATGTATCTCCAAAGCGAAAAGCGAGTTATCAGGGGCCAGATCCCTGATGAGCCACACACTGCCCTCTCCATTTCAACAGATACTCAACAGGGCAGAGAATTTACACAATTTGCTCTGAGGGAAGAGTAAATGAGAAAGCAACAATCCTGAGTGATAGCTGTGAAAAGTATCTCACTTAAGATGAAGAAAAATCAGTGCAATCATGCTAAAACAACCACAGACTTCAAAGGTTTCAGGCCCTACAGCAGACAAATTAGTTACATTTAAATGTTTGAAACAATCATCAATACATCAACAACTTCAAAAGCCTTAGAGATGCACCAGAATTGAACGAGTCTGAATTCAGTTTGCCTCACATGTTATTCCCCCCAACCTCTAACACCAGTGAGATGTGAGCAGGGAGGTCTCCACACCCCCGGTACTGCTGTTTCTCAGACCACAGCAAGTGAAGCCTGGTAGAGCCGGTCATCCTTCCTTCCAGGTGATCAACTACACCAAGGATGAACTGGAACACAGCAAACATTTCAATATTACATCACGACATTTCTAAGTGCCCACTGCATGTGCAGGATGAATATCTGTGCCCCACGGGCTTTTTACTGCAAGCAGCTGGTCCAGAAGCTGCTGCAAACCAATTTCCAAACTTGCCTTACGCAGCCACCTAACAGGGCAGTGCAACCAGCAGAAAAGTCAACTTGAGGTGGTAATTAGTGTGTGACGTCTGAGAGAGCTGGCCATGGTTTACAATTTGTGTGACACATATGTAGAAGAGGAGATACAGGCAGCAGGACTGATCGCTTGTCACCATGGTACGTTACTAATCCTGCACGTCCACAAGCTCACTGGCAGGTGAGCATATGCATTTACTCACACACACACAAGTATGTAACCAAACCACAATCACTCCTCCAAAAACATGTTCATACATACAAGACTGAGAGAAGGAATGGCACAAACATCGTTTGCCCTTCAAACTCTCCAGTATTAGCTGGCCAGTTTCCCACAAGTGTCACACAAGAAGTGGAACTGGAGGACCCTTACATAAAATCTGGATCAATACAGCCTGCATCGCTGTTTTATTTTTTCCCCTCTCTAACTCAAGAGGGATGTGAGCAGAGAGTTCTTCATATCTGTGTAATTCTTTTTCTGAGGCTCACAACAAGCAAAGCCGGGTAGAGCAGGTCACCTTCTGTGGTCAGTTCCATCAAGGGTGAATTTGAACATTATGATACAATAATTCTTTCCAGTATTTTCAATCAAACAAAACATTTCAGTGTTCTTTTCTCTACACGCTGCTGTTCATAGCAGCTGATAAGTTTGCAAGTAATTGCAAGGCTTTTGTGAGCAAAGAAATAATTTTTTTAAACTGAGAAGCAGAATACAGTAGAGATGGAAAGCTGAGATCCTATTCCAATTGCATTTCCATTTAAGACTATCCAGTCAGATGCAGCATATAACACCTCGAAGTTCAGCTCCTCCTTCCAGTTATTTCTGCCTCCTTTACTCTACATCACCCAGTCCCTGTTGGCTGCTATTAAGTGTTCAATACAAATTTACAAATGCAACTTCAAGATTAAACAGTGTTTCTCCTACCCTGGCCAAATAGCTATATTAATTTGTATTCACATAATAGTTTTCAGTAGCTAAGGGGAATTCCAATCAGCAAGGGAACACAACTTCAACAGATGACTAGCTTTTAAAGTCAAATGCTTGATACTCACGGTTTTCCTCCTGGGATGCCTGTGAGATTGGGAGGAATGCCTGGGACTCGCATGTGATGATGTGGATCAAAACCAACCTATAGTTTTCCCCAGCAAAACAAAAAGGTGTATTAAAGATGGAGTTACGCAAAGGAAGACTGTTTATGTTTAATTCATGTTTTCCATAGACTACTCCCCGAATCACAAAGAGATTGAACTAGATTTAACGCTGCAGGTCTTACACTTAATATAAACTGCTCTCGACACTGAACGCACTAGCGGCAAACACTTACCACCGGAGATCTCCCGTAAGCTGCTGCTGCTGCTGCTGCTGCAGCTGCTGCACTCATTTGAGGGGATATATTGTGTAGACCAGCATAGGCAGCTCCAGGGCTAGTCAGCTCCCCATTCATACCAGCATGTGGCACGATCCCAAATGGAGCAGGATAAGGACACGGCACTGCCATAGGCGTCCTTAAACCTGAAGCTATTGAGGGGACAAAAAGAGAGAAGTCACACAGCCAGCCCAGACACATTAGATGAAGTATGACTTTGGAAAACAGTAAAATACACAAAAATCTATCTATACACACACACACACAGACATACTGTATTAAAGTGCAGAAGAACCAGCTCAGCATCCAGTTTAAGCAGCTGTAATATAATGCCTTGTCACCGTAGATTTAAAGGGAGCCTGGTTAGGGACAAACAGCCACAGTTTCACACCACCAAAATACACAGACACTGACCTAGCGGGTCCACACCTGGGGGTTTGCCAGGCACCGGCCTCAGTCCGGGAGTGGAGTTGCTGCCTGGAGTTGGGGCATCAGTTCGCGGAGTTGGGGTATTTGATTTAGACACAGGAGTGGTAGATTTCTCATTCTGATCACCAAAAAGGAAAAAGAAAGACAGTTCATTGGTTATTTTAACTAGTGGTTGGAAATAGAGCCGAGAACAACCAGACTGTGCATGATCACTGATCTTCAGCTTTTGGGTTTGGGTTTCAGCAATCCCTGGCAATGAAGAGAAGCTGCAGAGGCACTGAGTAAGATGGAATGGCTTTGGAAATTAACTATAGCCTTCACAGCTCTCCTCGTTGGGGGCATCCATATGATTCGGAACGTTAAAAATCATTGCTGTCTGACAACAACACTGGCAGCGTATGTGAAATCTGTTGCTGGTCTCACTCTATTCATGGTGGACCTGCTCCCGTTATGATTATGAGTTTCTGTGAGAGGCCACTGCTGGGTAGACAAGAAGAGCGGAAAAACACCCCACCCACAACTGACCCGACAACTCATGCCCGAATGTGGCGCTAGCAACACAGGATGGAGACAGTGATGGGTATAAAGTCAGGAACTGTGCAGTGCTGCTTTTATGACAAGCTTGTTCATCAGACAAATCACTGACTCCCTGGCCTGAACCTGTCATTCCATCACCTTTCCTGAGCACTACATTCACTTTAAGCTTTCTTTTTATTTATTTTATTTCTTTAAATAATCACGTACCCTGACCTGTGAAGAACTGAGAGGGGAGTTACTGCGCAGCTCAGGAAGGTGATTAACTGTGGTCACAAACAGGAAAGGAAAGAACACCCCCGACTTGCAGGCAGCTGGTTATTTTTTGCATTGTGATTTGTGATGTAAGTCAAGGAAAGCTCTTGTAAATGACAGATTACTTTTTAGATAGAAAATAAAAATTATTGTTGTTGTATATGGCCTGGTAATTCAAACAAAGCTAACAACCAAATCACATCCAAGCAGGGAAATGAATTTGCTATAAACCACAGTACAGGAAAACAGCTCAAGGAACCCCTGTGTACTTTTATTTATTCTCAGAATGACAGTTTTTCATACGGAGGAGGAGAAAAACATCTCTCAGCACAGCACATCTATCATCAACCCACACCATCCGTGAAAATAACCTCTTCCTATTCCCAAGAAAGGCTGTGGACTTTCTCCTTACTATTTTATTGAAGTCCCATGAAGAGACAAATTAAACAATTTTTAAATTGATGCTTCGTAGTGCTTTACTGATGGCTGTGGAAATCCAAATTGTGTCCAGACAGAAATCCAGTAAGCATGTGTTTCAGTGTATGATCATGGGTCAGGAGCATGTTGAAGCACTTACAAGGCTAAGTTCTTTGGATTTCGAGGAAGGAGTACTGCTGGAGGATGCAATAGACGCTGGACTAATTGGTGCATCTTTCTTCAGCAGTCGAGTCTTATCCAAGCCATTCTCCCGTGGAGAGTGTGCTGGGCTCCCCCGAGGAGAGGAAGGATCCTAAACACCAGCAATGTGGGTTAGAATAAAAATTTCACACTAGCCACCAGTGCTTGTCTTGAACAATTCTCACTTTGGAATAAAGATCTGTCACAAAAAGTGCCATCTTCCTTCAGTTCTTAATTGATTTAGCTGATAAAATTGTAAAATTGAGATGGATAATTAAAGACAACTTTTTTTTAAAAGAAGGTCTTAAAATTTGATGTCATTAATCATGAAAAATGTTTAAAACCTATGGATATTGAAATAGGCAAGTAAATCTCATTTGTCAGGTGACAGATTGAAAAGGTTTGAGGCACTTGGCAGATCTGATAAAGCTCACAAACGAAGTCATGGCCAGAGTGAAACAAAACACATATACTGCTACAAGCTGCATCCTATCTGCTGTGCTTGAGCTGGCTTCAAACATCTCAAGCAGCCTTTTGGTTCACAGAAGAAACAAAAAGGTTCTTTGTAGAAGTGTTACAGATCTGATTTGCATTCTAAAGAAAGACAACCTGACTGGATTCCCTCTGGCATTTCTAGCTCCTTTATGAAAGCAAAGGCTGTGATCTTCTTTGCATACCCAATATGCACAGAAACCACTGAAGACACCACCCACCACCACCACTGTAAGGTACAACAACCACTATTGCGTATACCTCATTTGAAACATCAACTACTAAGTTGTCATCACTCTTTTCACCATCACTGTCCTGCAATGACAAATCACAATGCGTTAAAACCATTTATTTAATATCCCAATGTCTCTTCAGTACTAATAAAAAACCCAAAGCAATGAAATGCATGGCTGCTCGCAACCATGCAACATAGTATTTACTTTCATCAAGCTTTATGTGGTAATATAACTATAATATTTAGGTCACCTATAGGGCTTCTGCTCAACAGGCTGCCACAGCTATAGAATTCTTCCCAGTTTTCACAATGGTGGACAAGGACACAGGATGAAAATCCTCATCGAAAGTTGCACTGCACTGAGAAGTGGAGTCAGGCTAGACCCCAGATCTAAATCCCATCCCAACTAATGCTCCGTCCTCTTGTCATACGCCTTCCAGGTACTCTGTATTTACATTGTTAAAAACACTATCAACGCTACACACCGAAACTTTCCACCCAGCACAGATGTTAAAGGCAGGCAGTAAGAACCTATTAAAAATTTGACCTTCAATTTCAAAACTAGTTACGTGGCAGGAATCACACGACACGACAGAGGAACACTTAAGTTCAACAACACACAATGTAGACAATTTACTCACGTAACGAGCTGCTATTTCCTTCTCTTCCGTTTTCTGTTTTTTACTATCTGAAGAATAATCTGTTGAATTTCTGTGCTTTTCTGCTGTTCTGAAACTGGCTGAGGGAGATACAGAAGAGCTCTGCAGTCAGAAAAGAGATGAAGAAAACATCATCAGAAGCTCATTCAAAACAGTGGTTCATTTGTCACTATCTCTCAATACAACTTAATACGATCATATTATTTGGAATTGTTCTCAAAGACAGCACTCTGGGTTTTAATCAGGGAAAGCAACCCAGCAAGCGTCTTATATTAAAAGTGCACAATGCACTGCAAGAGACAGACAAAGGTGACCAACCGACAGATCACAGTTACTATCTGCAGCGTCAACGGGATGAATGTAGAGCTACCTTGGACCATATTATGAATACTATGCATTGGTCTGGTTTTGGCTCGTTTCCTCTACAAATATGCAGGGTTAAATCAATACTCCCAGAAAAGGGCAGTGGGTGTGTATGCACGTGTGTCTGCCTGTATTAAATGAAGAACAATGTGGCTCAAGGTAAGTCACACTTCAGCAAACGTTCGAATGAAGACTTCTAGCAAAGAAAGAACCAAGCTTTTGAACAGTCTCACAGCAGCAGAGAATAGGGCAAAACACCTGACCTCATTTTATTTTGGCACCTTTTACAATTGCAAGGCTGTGGCCACAGTAGATGGAAACACAATGCAGTGGCTCAGGGGGTCTCTTGCCATTCTGCAGCCCTCGCTTAGTAATGATCACTAAAGAGAACACGTACTGGACAGGAGAGAAAGGAAGATAATACGTACTTTACGCACTCTCACGCAACCATTCTACGCTACTCTTTAAACAAGGCAGGCAACATTTATCAACTCCTACCATATTTCCAAAGCTTGGTGGAGCCTGTGTATTGGTACACACAAAAGAAAGTAATGAAAGATGCAAAGTTCCCTCTGGGATTGATTTTAGCAGCAGCAGCAGCTTTTGGCCCTAGTTCAAGAAAGGATTTAAGCATGCACTAAACTATCTCGCGCTGAAGTCAACGGTTGAACGTACGTAAGTAAGGATGTGTTCAGGCATTTTGCAGAATTGGCGCTGACAGGAATGAGGATGAAAGTAATTCTCAGTCGAAACCCTGCTGTTTCTGTCTCTCTGTCCTCCTTATATAAGGGGCAGAGGAACCAAAGAAGTCCTTACTGCCAGATTTTAGATCCTCCCATTCATCCAGAGACACTGGTTTTGGGGTTCTTCCTCCTTGCACTACAGACAGCTGATGCTCCGCACAAAACTGTACAACACAGCAATTTGGTATGGGGGTTTTCAGTGCACACCTCCCTAGGTTTATTTCACAGCTACTACCAGGAATGCAAACCAAGAAATTAGCATTTGCATTGCACAACTTCTGCTCCATCTCAACTTACTACACCACAAACCTCTGGTAAGGATTAAGAACACTTAACCACAGAAGTTCAGCTGCGGTTGTTGCCCATGTCACACGAGAGAACATTTCTTCCTGCTGGGACACTCAGGTCCTCCTCTCCGCTTCTCTAAAATTTCTAATTCTTGTCAACAGCAGTTCAGATTAATGAACAGTGGAATTTGCAAAAATTTTCCATCTTTTTGATCTGTAATTGTTAATTACCCTCTAAGTAAGCCTAGTGGAAATACAGATTTTAGAACAAAGCCAGTGCTGAACACAGCCTGTGCCTGCCTGCCTCTCTCTCTCCCTCTCCCTGACAGTATAAAATAGTTATTCCTATTTTATGGATTTCCCATCCTGAGCAAACACACCTTAAAATACGTTCACTGATTCAGCTTTAAAGCAGATCATTAATCAACTATAATAGTAAATGACACAAACTAATAACGCTATTTTTCGCTCTGCAGAGACAACACATGCTAAGACATTTGGGCGTACTGATAGACAAAAGGCTGGACATGAGCCGGCAATGTGCGCTGGCAGCCCAGAGGGCCAACCGTGTCCTGGGCTGCATCAAGAGAAGCGTGGCCAGCAGGTCGAGAGAGGTGATTCTGCCCCTCTACTCTGCTCTGGTGAGACCTCACCTGGAGTCCTGCGTTCAGCTCTGGAGCCCTCAGCACAAGAAGGACATGGAACTGTTGGAGCGGGTCCAAAGGAGGGCTACAAAAATGATCCGAGGGCTGGAGCACCTCTCCTGTGAGGACAGGCTGAGAGAGTTGGGCTTGTTCAGCCTGGAGAAGAGAAGGCTGCGGGGAGACCTGATTGCAGCCTTTCAGTACTTAAAGGGAGCCTATAGGAAAGATGGGGACAATCTTTTTAGTAGAGACAACAGTGACAGGACGAGGGGTAATGGTTTTAAACTAAAACAGGGTAGGTTTAGGCTGGATATAAGGAAGAAATTCTTTACAATGAGGGTTGTGAAACACTGGAACGGGTTGCCCAGAGAAGGTAGTGGAGGCCGCATTCCTGGAAACATTCAAGACCAGGTTGGACAGGGCTCTGAGCAACCTGATCTAGTTAGTGGTGTCCCTGCTCGCTGCGGGGGGGTTGACTAGATGACCTCTAGGGGTCCCTTCCAACCCAAAACTTTCTATGATTCTATGATTCTATGATTTGAAGACAGTAGTGGCAATAGGCACAGAAGTCCTTAAAATAAAGGCCAAGCAGAAATGCAACATTAAATGAACTGATGGCTTGAAAAATGTATTTGTTTACTGCAACGATATAGCACAGTCTTTTGCAAAAGATTTTAATAGTATGCTCCTATTACATTTATATTCATTTACAATTTGGGAGGCAGTAGCTTGTAATGTGAATTCAATTCATTATTTCTCAACTTCACCCTACAGAAAGCAATTTGCTTTAAAACGAAGAAAAATAATCACCAGTAAACTACAAATTAGAGTAGTGTCTAAAGAATTAAACTACCACACTTATTTAAAGAGAAATATTTATTTTCATAAATTTGAAACCATATAGTTTCATTTTTCACAATCTACTTAGCTATGTGCTATAGATACAATTTTAATCTTTGATTTCACTGCTTAATAAAGTAATAAATTAAAGCTCCCTACCAGAATGATAAAGTAGCTAATTATCACTAGCACATAAAGGATGTGCACCACATTGGGCATTGGGGTAATGCACACCACTTAACGGTTTCATTGCTTCAAAGGTGGATCAGACCTCATACCAATATGAAAAGATCTTGCTGCGGTATCTCACTTTGACATTAGCAGAAAAACGGAGACAACTCACTTACTGACAGCAGGCAGAATCTCATTTCCCAAACTGAAATTTGGCCAGTGTACCAGGACTAACGTTATTTTGCCTCAGGAGTCAAGTACTACAGAACAAATCTAAACATTCTCACTTTTAACTGTTCTACCCCTTTCCTTGCATGGAGCCAGTCAATCAATACCCCTGCAGTGCTAACTTCTCTTCCCTTCAAAATATAAAGCACCTGCCACATAAAGATCCCTGACTTCACGCAATCTCTGGTACTGGTTCTGACAGATCTAAATTCGTCTCTTGCGCTTAAGTAATAAAGATATGTAATGCATATAGCCAATGAGCCGTGGTCTAGATCTTCCCATGGACCTAATTGCCTACTATTGTCAGTGTGTGAGGGACAACCTTATTACCCACACTGAGTTCCCACTGTTGTTTGCAGTGTCTTTTCACTTTCTAAGCACTTGTAAGGATCTATCTTCAGCGAGAAAAATCAGGATGTAACAATGCCCTCGTGATTTCCACTGACATCAGATTCCTACATACAATGCTGTACCCACCCACACCTTGGTTCCTGAGTGCGCAAGTCTACGTACTCCAAAAGAGGACCTTATATTTGCAGACTGTGCAAGAAAAACTCTATCAAAGCACACTGTTAGCTGTCAGACTCTGCCCTATTCCTTGATTAAAACACCGGTGCTCTTCTAACAGCTGCCTTTAAGAAGCTGGAATAGGATAGCTACTTAGAGAAATTAAGTGATTCAGCACTATGTCTTGGCAGGCTGTAACTTAATGGGCCGGAGTCCTCATTTTAGTAACTATCAAAATTTATAGAGAAACATAGTCTTTTCACACTGCTGTTTTCTTCAATCAAATGCATTAATCTACTAGACCGCAGCATTTTCCTACTAACCAGTGCTGAGTTTGCTCACATATAATAATTAGATCAGACATGGGAAAAAGTACTCTTTGGTGAAAGAAGGTTACATTTAGCTTCTGTTTTAGCAAAATGTAATGGTTTTTCATATCCTGCTTAGGTAGAACATTTTTATTCATGTTAAATACACCACAAAATGCTGATAAAATACAACTGAACACATACATTTATAGAAAGGCTGAGCACATTGCCTTGTTCACATAATTCGCTTAAGAAGTAGAACAGTATGTTTCCAGTGCTGGACCTGCAGTATATTTTGCACTAGGCTGTAAAGCATAGTGTGCTATGCTTCGGTCTCTGTTTTGGGCAGTGCTGAGCATGGTGCTAACCAAAAAGATCTCCCACCGCAGGGACCACTTTGTTTTCTCTCCAATGCTGGCAGGGCACTGCTCCTGGGAGTACCAGCGCCACACAGGCGTAAATTAAATCAACATGAAGAGCGCCATGCAAGCCTCTTACACAGCCATAAAATTCTCACCAGCAACAGGGCAAACATCAGCACGCTCGCTGTCTATTTGGGATAATTAATACTTCAAATTGCTACAAAAAGAAGAAAAATTGCCATTTTAGCCCCAACTGCCACTGGAAGTTACTTGCATTAACATAGATGGCTCACACTGTAACATGGCAGAAAAGAAATCAGTATGGTCAGACTGCACAGCCATCCAACCGCTCTCAAATCCTGCAAGCCCCAGCTCCCCACATGCTAGCTCCTGCAGATGAAGACCTGGCCTGAGCAGACTAAGTGATAATTAAATTAAATGAGTGTTATAAGTAATGACTAGAGATGACAGGATGAAAAGCCCTCCCAGATGACAAAGCTGGTAACTCTTTAAAGCATTCGTGAATATGACCATTCCCCAGCGTACCCTTACTACTATGCCAAAATGATGTATTTGGAGTGTAATGATTAAAACAATAATTCCCAACAAAGTGGGAATTACAAGATAATTGACCATCCTGAAGTACTAA